GTCTGACAGTCTGTAGGAGTATGTGTCGTTCGTCGTTCGTATAGTGGCTCTGTAGAGGGTTAAGGTTAGAAGCTCCGTTACAACACGTTCGATTATTTGTAAGTCACTGAAAAAGGTTAAAGTACGCTATATGTCAATCAAGGATACATTGACAGCCCTATCTGACCAATCAGTTGATAAAGTGGTACGAGCTGAAGCTACTGGTTTACTGGCAGAAATTTCCAGGACAGAATTCACTTTAACTTTGTGCACTATGGAATCAATACTAGAAAAAGTTCATGCCTTGTCTTGTGAGCTTCAAAATACAGAGCTCAATATAGTAGCAGCACTCAAATTGGTCAATTGTACCAAAAAAATGTTAGAGAACATGAGGAATGATACCTCATGGAATGCAATAAAGGACACCGCCACGATAATGAACTCCGATCAAGAAATGACTATTCAACGTACCAGGCACTCCAGGCAGAGAAAATATAATAGCAGATTAACCGATTATTTTGTTGATAGTACTATAGGCAAGAACGATAATCCTGAAATCAAAATTGATGTATTCTTCATGGTCCTAGACAGGTTTATTTCGGAATTAGATCGGAGGTTCTTGGATCACAATGAAATACTGAATTCCTTAATTATATTTGATGTCAGCTCTCATAATGAATTCCTGAACATAGATTCTGCGAAGCCACTTATAGAGCATTATAATCAATCAATCAATCAATCAAATTGATTCAATCCGTTTATCAAGCGAATTCACTACAGCCAAGCAATTTTTAGAATCGGATATGCATGTATGCAAAAATATTATAGACATTAGAGATCGACTGAATGCATTACCAGAAGCTTTTAGTGAATCATTAAAATTAATAGATTTGGTTCTTACCTTACCCGTAACAACAGCTACCAATGAAAGATTTTTTTCTTCAATGAAAATAATCAAAAGTTATTTACGGAGTACTACTGCAGACAATAGATTGAGTGATTTACTCGTGATATCTGTTGAATCGGATGAAGTGAAAAATATCGATCTTGACGAAGCTGTTGATCATTTCGCCAGGATGAAAAAACGACGATATCCTTTGTTGAATTAACTAATTGTGAATTTACTACTCCTTTGTGATTACAACGTCAATGTACCTTTATTTCTGTGACATATTTATTTGATTTAGAATTCTTATTTATTTTTGTTTTTGTTACGTTTGTTACCAGAGAGTTATTTCTAAGTTCAATGCTCAATATAATATCATATAATGTGGTTTTTTGTTTTGTTATATCTACCTGAGTTGGTTGTGTCCAAACCTATTTATATTGAATGAAAACTCCTCAAATTCATCGTTGTATAAGTAAGAAAAGTTTTTTCTGCACATAGAATGCATGAAAATCTGCATCTGCACATACTGGTTGGGAAACTTTACTTTCGATTTGAAACCATTTGACCTTGAAGCAAAAAAAATTTCGCCTGCGGCGCACTTTTCTCCTGACCTCATCTTGCCCCCCCCTGACAAACTCTGAAATGACGCCCCTGCGCTCCTTCTATGTCTAGGAAAGCTGCCAGCGCAATTTCCTTATGATCTAAGTTTTGGCTGATCTTTCCTACAAGATTGTTCAGTGCTAAATCCGTTGATTTGCCTGTTTGGTAGGCATATTGATGGGGATTTAGGGGATCCCTCCTTTAGATTCCCCTCTCTAATATGCCTGTCTAGAATTCTCTCTAGAGTTTTTAATAGGAACAAGGTAAGGCTGATCGGTTGGAAGGATTTGGGTAGGGAATGATTCGCCGTACCCATCTTGTGTATATACACAACCCTCGCTGTTGACCAGCCTAGCGGAATGTAGCTCCACGCCAAACTCTTTCTAAATAATTTAACCAGGAGAGGTAGTAAAACTTCTCTACCCTTTTGTAAGAGGGCAGGAAAAACTCCGTCCTCTCCCGGAGACTTGAATGGGGAGAAACAATTCACCGCCCATTCTACTGACTCTGGGGTGACCACCATTGAGGCATTCTTCCAGTCCTCATTTTTTGGTCGTATCATCGATCCCATTGGAAGTGGAATCTGCTGACGGTCCTCCAGGAGCAGACTGCCGGGAAAGTGAGTCTGTAGAAGAACCTCTAACGTTTGGCTACCAGAGTCCGTAGAAGAGCCATCCGGTCGTTTTATCGAGCCGATCTCTTGGGTCGGATCTCTGGCGAGAGCCTTGTGAATTCTCATGCTGGCAGGTACATCTGATATACTCTGACAGAACCTCCTCCAAGAATCTCTCTCGGCTTTCCTTATTTCTTTGTTATAAGCCGTTAGAGATGTGCGGTAAGTGTCCCAGCACTCTGCATCTTTAGCTCGATTGAAGAGACGTCGAACTTCTTGTCTTTTTTTGTCCAGGCTCTTGCTCCACCAAGGACATTTCAAAATAACTATGATATTGGAATAAAATTTGAATTGGATGAAAGAAGAAAAATGCACTGGCGTATCTTTCACGAGTCACATGAAAATAATTCAAATACATCGATTATTTCGAATCCCAATAACTCGAAAACAGTTTCTCGCAGCGACCTCTACCAGGAAGATATTTATTACACAAAAGTGTTCTAGAAAGCTATTTGTCTACTATGAAACGTTATACAGGTACGCACAAAAAAATTATGACTGTTCAAAAGACTCAAAAGACATGTAGGTGGCGCCACCCCACGAAAGAGACAAATTAAAATAAAATTTGATATTGTCATTAGAAAATACCCCTATATACCAAATTTTATTACAATATCCAAATTTTTTTGAAATTTATTAACAAAAAACAAAAATTCGAATTCAACTTTGGCACTGTGTATCTCAGAAACGGACATATATTTATACGAACTTTTCTTCTTATTTCGACGTCAGCAACATATGTTACTGAATTTTCTACACGTACTTGAGAAACACCCTGTATAAATATTTTATCTCCTGGAGCGCACGATACAAAATTCCTATGATGTTCGGAGAACATAGTGCGTACCTAGGGGCAATCGATAGGGGAGGTAGGTGTTGAAATTTTTTCGAACTTTCAATATACCGGGTGACACAGGAGACATGAAACAGCCTGTAGTTTTTTTAATTGAAGAGATAAAAATTTGAAATTCACAAGTTTTATATTATCGATGATGGCACTTCCCTTGAGCCCATTGACAATTTCCTTTAACGACCTGTTTGATCGGAAGTAGACCCAACTTTTTTTCCAAATGGCATCTTGTATATTTCTGTAGCCTTTCTTATTCGCCTTCAAATTCTCTATTCAACTATGTATCACAATTTGATGAGCGAAATGATTCTGAAAGTACACTGATGTGTACATCAATAATTATTACAACAATTTCAGTTTCATATGTATCCAAATGAATGATCATATCATGGCTAAATGGGAGAAAGAAATCCAAATAGTTTCTTCACAAGTAGCGAAATGAAAAGAAACTCAGTTTCCATCTTAGTTTTCTCAATATCGTCAGTTATTTTCGGATGATTTTTTCAAACTCAATGAAATTATTAGCAATCTTCTGGAACCGATTAGGGTATGGAAAATATTCTGATAATATCGTCTAAGTAATGATTTTAGATTTCTAAGTCTATCAAGCATCGAAATGTCATTGTATTCGGGCCACAGCCAACTTGTATTTCAATAAAAAGCAATTTAACAGCCAATTAATGAACGAATATCAAATTGTGTTTGTGATACTTAGTTGGATAAAGAATTTTGAGACGAATAAGGCTACAGAAATATACAGGGTGCCATTTGAAAAAAAAATCTTGGGTCTACTTCCAATCAAGCCGGTGGTTGAAGAAAATCGTCATTGGGAAATATACAGGGTGTCCGGAAAGGTCATGTTGCAAATGATATAAGGCAGAATGAGCCAAAATAATGGTAATACTTCATATAAAAAAATGTCTATCGCGTTTCGTTACGGAGTTATCAACCTTGAAAGTTAGAATGAAGAAAATGATTTTCATGTATAACTTTCAGACTTTTGCCATAGTATCAATGATATTCAAGCAGGTAAATAAACTCATACGAATGCTCCTTTCCATATATGTAAACGGCTTTTCAGTGAATATGTTTTCAACAGGATGGGACGATTTTTTCTGTTTAATGAAGGCATTTCTGACAGTGGTGACGAATTTGATCCCTTCATCTCTTTTCTACAAAAATATTGGTATACTTTTTTCAATCGATTTTTTGTACCGATCTAGAGAGAATCGCATTTTAGAAACATACATCCCAATCGTTTCAAAGTTGATGGAACTCCATTTATCATGAATGTATGGGGAGGACTAATTTCAAACAGCTCAATTATGGACCATCAATAGAAACTTTTAATGTAGATGAATATTCAACTTTTTCGCAAGAACATCGAGATCCGTTGTCAGAAAGGGTTCCTTTGAATATGCGAGGTTATATGTGGATGATGCACGATGGTGCGCCTCCTCATTTCGACAAAGCTGTAAGAAATCATTTGAACATCACATTTCCCCCATGGTCCTTTTCCATGGCCACCTCGGTCACCTGATCTTAATCTACTTATCTTAAATGTTTAGTTCATGGAGCACCTGTAAATATTAGGGATGAGCGTTTGAATCGAATTCTTACATCTGCACACGCTGTATGAAATGATCATCACATGTTATCTTGAGTACAATGCAGATTTCAAGATAATTTTAGAAAATGTGCCTTTAGTACAATGTGAAATATCCCCCTCCAGATTTCGAGCGCAATGTCTTATATTTGGTGATTATATATACAAATATAATAGACAGTGATACATTTTCAAATTTTTGAATAAGAATGAAGCTTTTCAAATGTACACTAGTCTTCAGAAAACATGTCGTGGTTGGAAGGTGTAAGCGCTCTTATTGCAGCAGTGATCTAGAGAGCACACTCCGTCCATGTGCGACATGTTCACTGAAGACGAGTGCACCCTCCATTATGCAATTAACAGTAGCGATGATCGAACTGAACATTTTTTCCTTTCCTTTCAGAACGAGAAAAATCAAATTATGAAATCAAACGTCTGGTTGAGATTGGTAAGTTCCAAAGTTCAATACCGCACGAATTGAGATGGAAATGTCGAAACAGTGTTTTTATTCATATTCATTTATACCTATGTATATTTCCACCACTAGCCCTGTAAACTACCACTCAGTCCTTTTCAAGTTTTGAACTGGTATTTCACTACCAAGGTATAGGTTATATCTCTTATTCACATACATATCAGTCAGATGTTAAAACATGGAGGTCCAGTTTGTAATACAAAAATTCAACAGTGTGTTGTACTCGTTGAAATAATAATAAAAAAAATTTATAAACATATATATTTGAACACGTCATTTTCAGGATATAGGGTGTTAAAAATACGAGTCTCAAACAGTTTAGAACTTTTCATCAATAAAATAATATTCAGACTCATATATATTCAACACCCTATACCACGAAAACGACGTGTTTAAGAGTATATGTTGATAAAGACTTCCTTTATTATTTCAACGAGTACAACACACTGTTGAATGTTTCGTATTACAAACCGGACCACCCTGTATACTGCTTGGAAATGGAAAACCATCATAAATCAATTACTTTCCTCAATAGCAATGCAGAAAATATTGAAGGAAATATCAGAAACAGTTCCGAACTGATAAACTGATGTAGGTTTCTAAATCTTGTGCCAAAGTTCGTCCGGATCAGGTCGAAACATTCCCGATTCCTACTGACCAGTGGAGATCTCAGAGATATTCGAGGAACTCACAAATCAATAAAAAGAACTTCAAATTTTGAAATGAAGGTGATCGATAAACATTTCTCCAGGATCCAATGTCAATTGGTTGTTTCAAAATCCATATTTGCTGAACCCAAATGATCAATCTGAGACATTTTTTATGATGAGCTATTGAACAACATTGATAAAGAGCAAAACATGCACTCCGCGCAAATTTTACCAATTCATATTGTTTACAAAATCATTATAATAACTGTCACTACTAAATCACTGGAGTCATGCAAGTATTGCAATGTCTACACTTTTCATTACTTTTTTCTCCTTTCTGCTTTCATTTTATGAAACAAATATGACGGGTAAAGATTTCGAATATATTGTACCGAGATGGTGGTCACATGAGACTTTTCAAAGTATATTTCGTAATCAAAATCTTCATTTTGATTATTCCTATGTTATTTCAATATATCTACACAATTTGTGTCCTCAATTCGTTTTTGGGATTTCAAATAATGACTTGGAATCTTCGCAGTGGTGCTTTGGCACGAAATTCAAGTATAAAAATGAAAATACCTTCATACCTAGGCACACCTCAATTCCAGATTAATCTTCTTAATCAATGTTCTTTCATGAACCTACCTACATGACACATCCTCCTCAATTGTTTTTTTGGATTTCAAGTGATGTTTAGCATCTTAACGGTAAGTAGGTTTAAATAGGATTTAGATGTTTCTTTCAGAAACACATCTGCACACTTTTCTTGCTCAATTCTCTTAGGGTTTTCCGAGTATCACAATAAATAGATAGGTAGCCACACTTTTCCTTCTCGTTTTTTTTTTGGGTATTCATGTGATGACTTCAGATCATCCACCAGAGCATTGCTTTGCACACAACTCGAGTGTTTCTTCAAATGTAGTTTTTAAGGAACAAACATAATGAATTCATCTCAAACAAGGTCAAGCCTGAACATATTAACTTCCTGAGCACACTCCTATGAGAATCCTGAGATAACTTTGGTATTCTGAGGCCATTGCTGGTACCTTTGCGGCATATTTGTGGTTTACCTATGGATGGTGCTAAACTCAAATCGAACAGAACCACATAGGACTCAAGTTTTCAAAGAACTAACGAAGAGGTTTGGTATCTGGATCATCTCAGTTTTCCGTTTGTAACATTCTCAGCTATAAATTGGTGCTCTACAAATATACATGGAGACATTATTTATTGTCTACCAAACCGTGCTACTGAAACGTGAAGTGAGTTGGTAGAACTGATAAATATACTCCTTCTTTTTGTGTCACTTGGCCCTTTCCTACGATATCTATTTCTCTGTCAATGTAAGAATTGTCGTGAAGTTTCCCATTGGGAAACGTAAGTCTGCTCAAATCTCTCGATAACTTGAGATTTTCCATTTGTTAAAAAATAGTCTACATCATGTTTTTCGAATATTTTCGATAAAACAGGCTATAGCATTCAGGGCTATCCAGCAAAATTTTGGAATTCTTGACTTCGACATTGACTTCACGTTATAGTAGCGCCAAATGGTGAGAGTGAAAATATCCGTACCCTAGGAAGAGTACGAAGAGTACGAAGAAACTGAAAAATACTTCCTGGATTCAACTGTCACTTAGGTTATAGACACAAAATAAATCCAAAAACTATCGTAAAAGAATCAAAATCTGCTTGAGACAATTATAAATTATATGCTGATAATGCTAGATTGGTTTGTTGATCATCTTCAAGAAGGATCTGAAGTTCGACGCCAGAGGCCGCAGACTTTGTGATGTTCGACGCGAAGAGTAACTATGACATATCATTGAGAAACAGTTCTGGAGTTAGGAAGAATACAATATTCACAATGAGAACTTTCAGGCACATTTTGAGTGATTGTATAACACTGAAACCAAATGACATTAATCAATTGTTCTTAGAAATATCAGCACGATTTTCATAATAGTAAGAAATATGCACTCCCAGATTACTTTCTTCAATTTTTAACTAGCAGTATGGCTGAAGAAACTGTTACCTTTTTTCAGATATATTTTCGTGATTATTTCTCATTTCATAACTTCATAGTAGAAATCTCAGTGATAATCATGCAATGAGTAAAATTGATGTTATCATTGCTCTACATAATGACTTCAAAGTGTGGAACCTTCATAGTTTGAGGCACTAAAAATTACCCATAAACTTTCGAAACTGTGAATACATTTTTGTCATAACGCTTTCCTTGTCAAGAGAACTACAGTGTAGTATAAATTGTTTAGTCACAATTGAGGTTTCTACGACGTTTTCGCTACTTTATCAGTCACCTATTAATTGATCAATTTTTATATTTTCGTAATTTTCACTCAGATCATTCTCAATGAGTAAATTCAACTTTTGTGCAACAAGCCATATTGACTGAAGTGAGGTGAACTCAAACCCAATCGAATTCCAGTTCCAACTGCTAATTGTTGAACAACAAAAACAACAATAGTATAATTCGTTTGATGACAAAGAGGAAAACACTAGAATTCAACAAAATCAACAATTATTTTAGGAAAGAAGGCAAGCAAACTAAAACCTTTTTTTTTTTTTACTGAAAGCTTCATTTCATGAGCGTAACTTGAATTTCATGACATTCATTGATATTTTTCCTCACCAGTGTAATTTATTCCACATGTTCAAAGATTGCAGTCATTGGATGCTATGGTCTCTTGTTTATTATTCTTATATGATCTTCGTGATTGAAATAATGAGAGAAAAAGTCAGTATGAAGCATCACGTTGTTGTGTGAGTTCTAGCTACGTCGGCAAACCGTGATATTCACTCGTAATTTGTTCATAACGTAACCGTAACTATAATAAATATATTCTAAACTATTCGACCCAATAGTCGTCATTGATAAAAAACATTGCTAGTGGTGGAAAATATATGATATAACTATTACCTACCATGGTGTACATTCGATTATTTCATATAGGTATGGAACGACTATCAGTTACAATGGGATGAGGCCGACTATGGAGGAATTGCAGTACTCAGGTTACCACCTGACAAGGTCTGGAAGCCAGACATAGTTTTATTCAATAAGTAAGTCCTCTGGATATTTCAGAAGTGCCGTGTGTCTCTTTTTAATTAGAACCATCCCCATATCTACCTAATCCTTGATCGATCCGATTTTTCATTCTCCTCGACATGAAGTACTCACTGCGATGTTTATTATTTGATTGCGTCTCCATTTCCTTCATTGAAATTTTCATAATTTTCAGTAAAATTAGGCTTTGTTCGAGCGAAAAGCTAAGTATATCAGACTATTTCGAAACCTCTTAATCAACTCAGTTCCAATTTTCACTATGATATATTATATTAAAGGCGATTTTTGAATACTAATGTTGTAAATAGGGTAGGGTAGATCGAGGATAAATGGCCCAAAGGACCCCAAAAATCTAGGATCAGATAGATTAAATCATGCTGAAGAAGAAATGGCATTTGATCCAACGCCCGTTGTGCTCGTTAAAAAATGTTGTGAGCTCTTGGAGCCAAAAGAAATTACCTCTACTTCTATCAGAACACAAGAAATTCTAGAGGGGCTTTGTATCTATAAGTTATGAATGTAATAGTATATGCGAGTGTAAAAATTTTTGACCATAATAAATTTGAAATTTGTTGATTGTTCAGAATGAGACTTTTTTTAACCTCCGCGTAATGAAGCTCAATCTGAATAAGAAAATCACAGAAGATGTGAATTCCTCAAAATGCCCATTGTCCATTGGCAGAAGCGACCACCGACCCCAATAATACTACTTGCCACATGAAGATAATGCTGGAATGATGATTATTTTTCTTATTCGCATTGTGACCAGCAAATGTCGAATTGAACCCGTTCAGATGACGAAAATTGAATCTAGTAAAGGGTATACTCAGACATTCAACATAAATCAGTTTTGTTATGGTTTGCAAATTTTACAGTCACGTTCATAACCTATAGTTACAATTGAAGCTCGTCTCGAATTTCTTCTGTTCTGGTAGAGGTAATCTTGTTTGGCTTAAATAGCTCATAACTTTTCTCAAAGGGCCGTGGACCATAGGACATTGCTTGTTCATCATGATTTAATCTATCTGATCCAAAATTTCACCGTAGACAAGATTTGAACGTAAATGGTACGGGGTCTTTTGTGAAGAAATCGTAATATCACTGAATGATTTTAATAAAACGATTTATGTCTTAGTTCGTACTCTTATATCACCAAAATAGGTACATATCATGTTTCACTCATTCAAATGAGGAGCGACATTTACCCGTGAACAAAGAAAAAAAAGTCAAAAGCCATTTCTATCCTCATACACGTAAGTTAGATGGCGCAAATCGAGATAGAGGGAATAAGAATTTCACATAGATAACATAGTACTTTGTTTACTAATTTTAACACCACGAGGATAAGAAAAGTCTGCACATTTTGAACACGAGTCGTGGGATCAACGTTGTACATACATTAAATGCAGTCATCAGACTTTCCTGTTTGCGCATAATTTTCGCCACAACCCGTACACTCGTCTCCAAATTCATCAATGCCCCCCCCGGTACCTTTATCGATGAGGTTTCCATTTGGAAAGACGCCCATGCTTTTTACTGGATGAATGGCCCTTGAAACTTGCCAACCAACCCCTGCTCCTCCTGGAGTAGTCCTCATAACTTCGTCTATGGTACCATACCTAAGTCTGGTTGTCGTATGACTAGAGTTTAGCCATAGCACCATAGCGAGGTAATATTGCGCCTCGCTCACTGCTTGCTGGGCTCGAGAAACTGATAATTCCCGGCTGATCCTGAGAATAAACATAATCGAAATAGCGAATCACTATCGGCCTAACCAATAAATGCCTCTATGATATTTTTTCGATTAATAACTTTCAAAAAAAAATAAAGAAAAATATTAGCTGGAGTAGGTATCGAACCCCGGTTTTTTCGTTCGTAGGAAGGAACACTACTCTATTGACCACCAGGCTTCTGGCAAAATGAACTACAACATGATTGTATACGCTCTTGACTTGCCACCGAGGCAATATTTCCCGTATAGTGGTTCTATGGCTAGGCTCTAATTGTCGTGTGTGTATGGGTCAGCCAGACGTTACGATCTCCTGCGATCGCGCAATTTCTGTTTTTGAATTGACTGACTCGGCCGTTTGACTTGATGGAAATCCATGGCAAATGTAAAATCTCCACAAATGACAGATGATAAATCGAAACATCCTATTTATACCAATTTTCGATAGGATTATTCATGAATTTTCATATGATCGAAGCCGAATTGAAAGTTATTACTTTCATAAACAGCATTCTTCATTCGATGAATATAATAGCTGAATTTTGTCATTTGAAGTAGATAGCACAATCATTAGAGTATTGAATAGTCAGGAATGTAGATCGCATTACTACATGTTGAGAACGAGATTCGGAATCGGTCAATGATTGCGGAAATACATGGGTAGTGAGATGTACAGATTGTATTTTGAATTTCCAAAATACCCCGCACAAAATATTATGAAATTTGACATGTTTCAACTTATCACCTCTTGATCATGAGAGTCAGGATATATCACTTTATGAATTTGAACTGGGAATTTCAACAATGTAGGGTTTGATGTGTTGACAGACTGAAAAGATACGTTGTCCTATATTGAATCATCTATTACTCAATAGAAATCAGAAATATATGAAAGATAAGATTCAAACAAAATTCTCATTCAATTTCAAAATTTTGAAAATTTCTTAGAATTTACGAGAAGTTAAATTAAAGGAAAACATTTTCATACACTTTCCCATTGATATCACTATTGATAATGAATCAACTCACCCTTATCAACATACAACTACAGAATGCAGGGCCATCTTAACAACAGGGCACGTGAGGCACGTGGTTCAGGGGGCACTGGATTTGTTTCAAATTTTTGCAACACTAACACTAATTATCAACATACTTTATTCATCTGACAAAAAAAACAAATACTATATTCACCAGCTTTACTCCCATTTCAAATATATTGATAAATCAAGAAACCTGGGATTTATAATCATACAACTAAATTGCACTTGTCTATCAGAGAAATTTCCCGGTGATGCAGTCAAAAAAGCCGAAAAAGGGTTAAGAATTTATCGGGTGATCATGATTTTGATTTGGAAATATGTACCTATACATCCCCACCTTTAGATGCTACTCTGCACAGAATCTCGACAGTTATGCGCAACATATTGGCATTATTTATTCAGGTATTTTTTCATCATCATAATGTACATATGTAGTTTGGATACATGGTACTTTTCATTAGAAAATTGCTATTCACAGGTTTGTTGTGAACATTATGTTCACATTTCTATCGATTCATTTTGGTCATATACAAAAAAAATATTGGGCATTCACAAAATCCGTGCCTTGGAGCACCAAAACTCTCAAGATAAGTTGAGTGAATGTCTAATCTTAGAAGTGAATTTCAGTAAAAAACTCAATATCATGAAACAGATAGCGCAGTCAGCAACAGATGTGAGAATGTTATGATGAAGAATATTCTTTTCTAGAATCTCTGTGAACACTCAATTCGAGAAGCTTATTCTACCATCAGAAACAATGCGCGTAGCCTCGCAGAAAGAATACAAATTATCAAGTAATAGTTTGTTGGGAAAAACCATCACAATTCAACACCCAGGACTTCAGATCAGCAAAAAACCTACGCGCACAATGGGCTGACGCCATGGTCTCATAGTATTCTGCCAATAAGATTATTCTCGACCCCGCATAAAGTGATACATTTTGACCAATGTGGATATGGAACGCATTTCTTTCATTTAGCTCCTCATCTCATTCGCTTTATCAGAGATATTTGTTGAAAATCAGTGGATTCAACCAGCCACCACTAATTTCCTTCCACAAGTTTTATTATATCCCTCGGAACATTCCAAGAAATATTATTCCGCTCTTCAGGATATTGATATTGAACATTCCAGTTCCTGGAACAGTTAATTAGATTCAAATAAGTTCATGAAATTCAGTTTGCCTCAACGTTTAATCTAATCTAAATTGTATATTGTCACAATATGTACGTCTGTCTGGGTAAGTAGTTTCTATCAGGAATATAATTGGATTCCTGAAATCTGAATTCCGATGGAAAATAGTATTACATTTCCATGCACAAATCTTCTGCAGTTTTAATGAAAAATATCTGTATGAAACTGTCTATATTTTTGCTTCACTTATGTGAAGGTATAGCTTAATTTTTTTCATGAATATCGTTTCTCTAACACTATTACAGAAAATAAACATCGTCAAATTGTTTCGGAACAAACGCGATTCTGTGTGAGTAAGTAGAATATTTTTTCTTCTTGTGGTTTTTGCAGCACATTTCTATACAGCGAGTATAATGTCGAGAGAATAATAGTTAACAATCATTTTCGATCGATGAAAATGTTCCATCCGAAAAGTAAGTAGATATATTGGAGTTGAAAAAAAAGTGTTCACAACAGATTTATCAACGAGTCGTTAGATAATCAAGTAGAATAGGAATTTGTGATTGGAACCTATTCATATCCCGTTAATGTCATGAACAAATTGATTCATTCGGAAAAGCTCGCAAAAGGCTGGACCTATAATCCCGTGGCAGAACTGCGAGCACTGAGGAGGGATACATATCGGTGGATCCTTCTCTTGGAGGTGGACAGATTGTAGTTTGCTGAAAATACATCCGTGAGCAGAGAATTCCAAAGTGAAGATGCCCCACAAAAAAAGGAGCTCTTGAAACATGATGTTCTAGGTGCTTCAGTTTCGACTGCATATGAGTGTGAAACTTGAGCCAGCCATGTTTGGTGAACAGAAGTCATTCCAGGGGGGACAGCTGATGACAATTCTGCAGAGCATCATTCATGATAGTAGCGATAGAAGAGTGTTTGTTTTGCAAAATTTCTTCGATGTTTGGAGGTTTGCAGTATTCTTGTGAGAGTTGGGTCATTGATGAGCCTGATGGCTCTTCTTTGAACGGACTCCAGAGACCTCAGAGAGTGTTTTGGAGCTGATCCCCAGACAGAAGGTACTCAAGAGATGGTCAAATCTGGGCTTTGGGAGTGTCACAGATTGTTTTGAGGTAAAATACTTTTTGGCGAGAAAGAGAAATTCCAGCTTCTGAGAGGCAGCTCTGGCTATATTGGCAACATCGTTATGCCCAGATATACTGTCGTATACTGTGATGCCAAGCATTTATATTGATGAATTGGTTTGTGAAGTTCTTCCAGCCATAATTGTAAAAGAACCCGCACGTTTAGCCTTCAAAAAAACTGTTGCTTGGGTCTTCAAGGCGTTGAATTGTACGAGTTTCATATTGCCCCATTGTTGGATCTTCCCCAAATAATCGTTCACTGACTGAATCTGTTGCAATCGTAGACCTTGGTTGTCTGCTGTGGATATAGGTATATCAGAGGAGAATAACGCTATGAGGGTGGTATCGTCAGCAAAACTGAAGAGAGGGTTGGTAATCATGTGCGAAAGATTGTTGATATGTATTGAAAAGAGTGTTTAATATAGAATAGAGCCCAGTGGTACTCCTGCATTGGTAGGAAGTGTATCTGAGGTAATCCCGTCAACAACTACATGGAGACTTCGATCTTGGAGAAAACTGGTAATCCAAAGGGATAGTGGGGGAGACAGACCATAAAGGGGTAACTTGTTCAGGAGTGCTTGGCGTTAGAATCTATCTAGTGCAATATAGCCCGAGATTATCCGTGTTTTTCTGGAGTTGAATTTCATGTGTGTTACTTATGCTGAAAAGTTGTCAGTTGATCTGCGTTGTCGAGAGCTTTATTGCCTATCAGAAATAATGTTTGTATTGTCTGAATATCTTATGATTTCAATATTGATGGTTTTTTCTATAACTTCAGAAATGACGAATAGTAAATCAATTGGACGAAAGTTGGCAGACAAAGTTTTATCTCCTTTTTCATTTATATTTGTGTCACTTCTGACCTAACCTGAGGCGCAGGATTTGAAGACTTATGTTGGAATATATCAGTTTTTTTCATCATCAGTGATGAAAAAGAGGAGGTTGTCAAATTTTTCTAGTCGGCTTTGGCTACAGACCAGTAAGACCTCGTACCGCTAGTATAGTCTATGAGCTTTCTTCTAACTCTATTGAAGTGAGCTTCATTTGCCGCATCAATGATGTTATTGCATATGTTCCGTGATTCAACGAATGTAGATCGATTTTCGATTGTTGGATATTACCACCAGAGGCGAAAAGATTCATTTTTGTTGGCTATAGCTCTATAGCACCAACATTGTTGGTGGTTTATTCGATGATGGGTACTTGATGGAATAAGGAATGAAGGTGTCTGTATGTGTGTATGATCCTTGATCCTGAGTATGATTATTTGTAAAATGGATTTGATACAAATTGCTGTTGGAGCATACATCAAACCAAGAAGTAAAACCAAGAGGTTACAATCAATTGAAATAAGGTTGTAGTCGGCGTTTTTGATGGGAGATTTTATATTAATGCTGTATGGATCAGGATTAGGTGTGAGAGGAAGAAAGGACATATCCCTGCCTCTCTGTCAGCATCATCAGTTCGGTTGGAATGTTTCATATTATAGACGTTGAAATCGCCTAAAAATATAATTTCTGCTCCAGGGTGGTTTTTTTGCAGAATGTCGACATTTTCTGAAAGGGCTCTGAGAAGGTATCTATATTTTGGGTAGTTGATGAAAGCAGGTAGAGGCAGCATGAGAATTTAGTGAAGCTACGAGATGACACATTGAACTACATAATATTGAAGTTCGTGGGTTCAAATTCTTCCTCTCGATGACATGAGAGGTCATTGCATAATAATCCACTATTGACTCATGTATCAATCTACTATAATACTACTGTGGACTGATTAAAAGCAAGAAGCTACTTGAGTACTTGTCTGCATACTTGTTGCTGTCGCTTTGGTTACGCCCAAAATGTTATCGAGATACCTTTATCATCGCGTTCGATGTCTTGATGTTTTGAAATCCAAATACCTCGATTATCTCAAACATACCTGTTCTTCTGATCGTATTTCTTTCCCATTTCTTATATCTCCCCTTGAAAAGTTGTTAGATGAATCGTTCGTATTCATTAAAAAGTACCATTGGTTTCAAGTTTTGAATTTTCTCAACAAAAATGGACAAGGATTTCGAGAAATTTGAAACAGTCATAGTTTTGTCGATGACGTGGCAAATATGGGACAAAAGTTACCACAGCCCAACAGCGCAACACTGGATTGAATATCCGGAATAACTTTCGGGTCAGAAATTAACCAAACACCAAATTTGAATGCAATATATTCAACCAATCATGAGTTATTGTGAGAAGGCAATTTTCATTTCTGAACTTCAACTTCCTGCATCTCAAGAACATTTGATGGTCCACTTTCACATTCTTAGCCGGTGAAAAATCACGAGGGCTATCACTTGTCATAAGAATTGCCGGTCCCATTTCTCAACACACTGTGAAGGACGCTATAAAGCTAGTTCTTCGAAGGTACCAATTATTTTATGTCACAATCATCCATATCCATCATATGACACATAAGTATGTCACTTATGATATATATAGATTCGAAAGCTTCAATGTTGTCTTCAAAGTTCGTTCGAATAACACCACCGTATGTATACACTGAGAAAAATGTATGATGATTTCACACATTTACCATTGACCTGAAGAACAAGCTAGCACTATTGGCCAACACTAATAGCATAGTGTTAGCCCTGTGGGATATGGGGAAAAATGACTTCAAACATGAATTTTGTCTCCATGCCTAAGCGACAGTTGATAATCAGTAACAAATATCAACAAAAAATTGTAGTTTTTCATGAAATGCCATCATTTGACAGCATTTACGAGCACGTAAGCGGAAATAATAAAAAAAGTTGGCAGCGTTGCCACGAACGTATTCTTGAAGGATGAAAAATTCTAACAGTGGACTGAAAAACACATCATCTGATGTAGCAGGAATTATAAAAATTGTAACTTTGAATCTCGTTTTATCGAGCGGCAATCTATCACTTTACGCACTGAATACACAAATGGCTTTTCGAGAGGGTAATCACGAACCAAACACTGGTACTCACACCAAACTTTCCATAGGGTCAAATTTCTCAAACTCCCTAGAAGTCCCTCAAATTTTCTCGAATTTTCTCAAACGCCCTCATACTTTTCTGAACTTCTCCAAACTCTCCGAACTTCCTCGAACTACTTCAAACTTCCCGATCGTTCTCAAACTTGCTCAAACTTCCTCGAACTTCTCAAAATTCCTGAACTTCCTCAGGCTTCAGACTTCCCTGAAATTCCTGAACTTTGGCATCATCTTCTTTTTTTTTATCGATTGGAGCGCACGAAAGGGAATCCCTATAATGTTCAAAGAACATCGTGCGTTCCTAGGGAGGATAGGGACAGAAGGTAGGTATTGGAATTTTTTTTGAATTTTTGGAGATTATATGTTGTTGGGAATACTTCCACAGGCAATGAATTCCAGAGCCTAGCCGTTCTATGGATGAAGGAGTCTTGATAAAGTGCTGTTCGACATCTTTCGAGGTTGACGACGAAAGGATGTGCTGACTGGGCTTGTCTAGTTCGTCTGATTGGTATTGCTAGTGAAGGGATGATTGCAGAGATTTCCGAAGAACATTTCCCGTGGAAGTATCGATAGAAAAGTGAAAGGTCGCCGACCTTTCTACGGTGTTCCAATGATGTCAAAGAGTGAGTGAGTGTGGCGTCACCCGCCAGGCGAATGGCTCTTCTCTGGATGGAATCTAAGAGCATCAGCGTATGTTTTGGTGCTGAACCCCTTATGTGGGAACAGTATTCTAGAACAGGCCGTATTAATTAAAGCTGTTTTTCTATTTGTATCATTTCCTATTTGATCAATTGATTGATTATTGACAGTTTATATACCTACTCGAACTAATTGTGCAAATATAAAGGGACGGTGATTGTACCTCTGGAGCTATCCACCAGTCTCGTACAGATTTGATAGAAAATGTTTTCAAGTGGCCAAGAACACTTCAGAGATCGATCTCGAGAAAGCTCGATTGACGCTAGTAGGCCGCTGACTTTAGACAGCCTAGTTCGCACCCAGATAGCACAAATACCTTCTGATGCCCTTTTGAGGCGTTCACAATAATATGTCGTCAAGTCGTCGAGGGCAAACATTCCAGACTTCCTCAAACTTCCTCGAACTTCCTCGAATTTCCCCAAACTTCAAACTGCCCGAACTTCCCCAAACTGCACCGAACTTCCTTATACTTTCTCGAAATTCCTCAAACTACCTCCAACTACCCCAAACTTTCTCGAACTTCCCAGACTTCCCTGAACTTCCTCGAGCCTGTACAGGAAACTTAACACGTGATTACCCCGTCATAGCTATTTCATCACGGCAAATCAATGTTTAAGCATAATTTCCTATTTCAACAATAAAGTTATTGAATATCCATTATGTGATTTTGATATTGTTTTTCTTCGTCAAAGTGAAGAAGATTACAAAACAGATGTTTTGAGTCGAATTCGATATAATATTACTTATTCATTTTGAAAGTTTTCAACGGTCAATACAAACCAGATTCCTTGCAATCTCTAAGAAAATGATTCCATGCGAAAATTCTCATGAATGTTGACAAGAGATTCATTCTTTTTTTTTTCTGTTTCAGTGCCGATGGCAATTACGAAGTTAGATACAAATCGAATGTGTTAATTTATCCAAATGGTGAAGTGCTGTGGGTTCCTCCTGCAATTTACCAGGTATGTACCAAATCACTAGTTCAATACTATAAATAATATCAGTATACCTACTATACCATCTCGTAGAAAAAAAATGGGAATACATAGCATACATAGCATTCAGTCCAAATATACTGGTTTTCTGCATGCGTATTCTGCTTCTTTCTCACGATCACATGATTGTGCAATATCTGATTCTGGCAACATGTTGGACATTGAAAGTTGTGAGAACTGTGGAATTGCATTAAAGAGCGAGGAGTATCCTCTGGTGCATCAGCTTGTGATGTATATGTTCCCACTTGGCGTTTCGGAATCTAAAAACAATATTAGGCATTCACAATCATTTCTGTGCACTATTATCCGTATGAGTATTTATATTCCAAACCGCTGGACTGCCATTCAGTTAGATTGCCACATATATATTTTGCGAAAAGCTCTTTCGAAATACATCGTTTCAATCTTCAATTGATTAATAAAATAGGTGCTTTCCATTTCTGCGATGACAATAACCGGGCATCCCAATGGGGAAGTGTCAAGTGTCTCTTCTATATATGAGGTGAACCCCTGGACTCATAATCACTATATCTGAAATGGAGTTATCCTGAGGTATAAATCAGTTTTCTCCTTACCCATGAAAATAGAAATGGAGTTGATATTATGATGAAATTCATTTGAATTATTTTTTAAGGAACAACTGGATTGATTCCTCATTTCTGAAAACATTTCATCAAAATCATATTTGGAAATCTTAATTGAGAAGCAATTGTCTAACTGTCAGTGTAAAATCTTCTATATTAGGTATACAGTGAGGACCAAAAGTCCGTCGCCCCCCCTGTAACTTCTTTATTCTACATATTACAAAAAAAATTTAAATACATAAGTTGTAGAGTTTCATTCATACAGAGTGTCTCTAAAAAGCACGGTGACTTAGAAGTTAATTTTTTTAAATGGGACACCCTGTATTTCATTGCATTTTCAGATTTTCTCTGAAGATCTGATTACATCAATGTATCACACTTGGGGTCTAGCGGAAATGATTACAGAGATATAGGGTGTGAAAAATCGTCATTTTTCGGCTGCATATAATTCGTCAGAACGTATTCTATCAACACCGTATTATATCAAAATATATTCGATCAAAATGGTAATTCAACAGAACCGTAATTTAACGGAGCAGTAATTCATCGGCATGCAAAACATCATAATGTAATCTATCATGTTGTAAAATGAAGGAATGTACTTCATAAGAACGTAAAACATCATACCGTACTTTATAGAAATGGTAATTCATCATAACCGTATTCCATCAGAATGGTATTTCATCAGAATCGTATTCTGACAGCACGGTGAATCAACAAAACCGTATTCAATAAAAGAGGCAATTCATCAGAACCGTATTTCGTCGCTTCAGTAATATATCATAATGGTAAATCGTCATGATGGTAAATTATCAGAACTGTAATCCGTCGGAATATTAGTTTGTCAGCAGTGTATAGTATCGGTACTGTAGAACATCATAACCGTATTTTAACAGAACTGTAAATCATCAGAACTGTGTTTCATAAGAACCGTAATTCATCGCTTCCGTATTTCATCAGCATATCAATGTATCATAATCGTATTCTATCAGAACGCTAAATCATCATAACCGTATTTCATCAAAACCGTATTCCATCAGAACCGTATTGTATCAGCACGGTATTTCGTCAGAATGGTAATCCATCGTCGGTACAGTGCCCTATCGGGAACAAAGTATCGATTTTCTGTCCGCTTTTCAGGTATGCTATGCGATGGCGCTGGTAAATGCATGTAAGATAAAATAAGTATCTGATCAGAATAACTATTCTAACATGAAATATGTTATTCTGAATGAGATCTCGATAGAATTTCACCTCAAGAATCTTTGTAAGCTTCTCAATATAGCTTATTCTCAATGTGAGATCGTATATTTTTCATATTCTTATTGTCGGTGTTTGATAAGTGTATAGAGAGGCAGTTAGTTTCAACTGCCTGCGTGCGGTATCAATTATCAGGAATTCAGTTGTACCTACGTAAATTAGATTGAAAAAAAAACCTTATTCAATTTAGAATTTCCTTACACTCTGTAGATATGCATCTTATCGAAATGTTATATCTATACAAGAATATATAGAGAAACAAGGTGCTTTCAGAGTCAGAATGAGATGAATCGATGAAAAATTTCATGCGTATACAGGGTGAGTCACAATAATTTGAGCCCGTGACGAATTTCAAGATCATCAGATAAATAACCTAATTTTGAAGTTGAAAGTTCGTATCACCGTATATCCTGAACTCAATCCGATCTGTGATAAGGTGTCAGGAATTGGATTACGATTTGAAATTTCAATAGGCTATCGACTGCTGAATTAGTTATAGGTAATCATTTATTTAGATTTTTTTGACCCATGGAGTACTTACGGTCGCATATGACCACATTATTCTTCATATCTCCATTTTTAGACATCAGAATTATTCAACATTAGTTAGGCTGTTTACATCACACATATTTCATGAACCTGAACTCTCAAGTTATCTCTCAAGTCAAACGAAATATAGATTGACCGACAAAAATGCCCCAAGCCAAACAAGCACCGTTAGTTATTATTCGACTTCTATGAACAAAAAATAGTAGGAAATGCGAGGAAATGGCTCATCAGATACTAGGAGGAACATATTTTTATAATTCAAACTCCCCTAACAACACAGGGATGTCCTATAGGTACGTCCCTTCTTTGTCCCGCGGTACAAGGACATGATTGGGGCATCCAGGGGATGTCCCGCAGTGGTTGTCGAGTTGGCATCCCGCCCGGTACATCCCTTGGTTATACTATTCGTGTCCCTGGAATATCTGATATCGATTCACAGTCATTGAATGTATCAGAACTTCTCAAGAAATTACCATTTTTCGCAAACAGAAATCGTAAATGCATAATGCCCCTCATTTTTGAACAAAAATGTATTTATTCAGGTTTCTGTAGTTTAGTCCTGTTCATAAATTTGTTCAGTACATGAATCTTCAGAAGGCATATTAGCTAATGGAGTGAGGTTCGTGCATTATAAGCTGAAGGTCCCGGGTTCAATCCCTACTCGACCTACATTTTTTCGTTTTGTCGAAGGGATGTCCCTGGAATATCCCTGGGACGTCCTAGGTATATCCTTCCTTCGTACTTGGTACATCCTAGGGACGTACCAGAAGGCGGCCAGCGGATGTCCTTTGGACATCCCTAGTATTAAATCAGGGACATCCCTGGGAATGTACTAGTATCAGCGATAGTAATTTCTTTTTAAATAGTATCAACCTTTTTTTTTAATCGATTCTAACTTTTACGTAAAATTATTCGACGATAAACCTTGAAAATGCTCTTCATTATCGTACTGACAATTTGATTCATATGTATGAAAAATCCCGTAAGACGCTGTGATTTTGTCATTATGACAGCAAAAAAACATTGCTCTGAGTTTTCCAGCGACAAACCTCAACTTGACATTTGAAACCATGACAACCAAAATTATTGTAAACGAATACTTTTTGAGAGCGTTCATGTCAATTTTTCTCAATCATGCGTTGTCACAATAGTAGATTGTTTTATTAGGATCAAAAGTGACACTTTGTTTGACAAGCGAATTTTGCATTTGCGAGGCGGAGCGTTTAGCGAAGCCGAGCGAAAGCAAAATTTGCGAGTCGAACAAAGTCACTTTTGATCCGAATGAAACATGCTATATTTTCTGCAACCGAAACAAATAACTCAAATAAATATGTGAAGCTTTCACCAATACCGTGCCATATGTATGCAATGCAACAAATATTGAAAAATAATCCGTGAGGTGAGAACATTCTACCTGCATCAACAGCAGGTTCATTCAATTTTCAAGGATGTTCGAATTGTTGTTTCGATATAAATACAAAATACAATCACAGAGTGACATATTTGTGTATGGACCAGGTGCTCTAATGGCAAATACCGCGTCAGTGCCAGCTATAGAAACAAGACTTGGAAAATGTTAGGTTAGTGAGCACATCAACAATCTCAACAATAAGAATAGCAATTATTTTTTCCTCTCCGTAATACAATGTTTGTCGCTTGACAATCAAATGAAGGTTAACAATATCGTTGTTTGAGAAAAAAAAACTATTGCTTGCCGTGATTATCCAAAAACAAGTTATCCATCCCGAGAATAACGAATGAAATACAGATCAAGCAAGTATTTGAATCTTGAAGGCTTCCCTGATCAAAACAAAAATACTCAACTGAGATGTTTATAATTCCAATACTGAACTATAATAAGGTGTATTTATAACTCCAGCATGGGTATGAAATGCCAAATCTGCTGAAATCGGAAACAAATCAGGTATGCCACTCAACCCAAATAACCAACCGTCACAATGTTGTTTATTCTTGATGACGTCCAGTAGATCCTTTTTAGTTCCTAGGAGCTAAAGTTCAACGCCATTATCTTCGTATTCGTTTGAAATAACCCTGTCAAACCCGCTATCCTAGAACTCGTTATGATAATCCTTATTGCCAAATCATGGAATAATAAACATTAAAAAATCAGCAGTTGGGATAATTTCTGGTAAAACTGGAAGTGACAGAACTGATATTTTGTCAATTGATCAGGATCTGATCCCGAATGAATCAGAAATAACAGCACTGGCCGTTTGTTGTGCACATCTCTGTACATATTAAAAGTATTCTGATTTTTCCAATCATATGGAGGTAGAATTCTCAAATTTCAAGGAAATAGAAAGCTTTCAAAGATACATTCCATGATCGAATGCGATTATTATCAGTGGAATACACTTCTCACCAGTAGCAATGGATTCACTGATATTTCCAAAAGGAGTTCTGAAAAATGTATTCCTCGCCTTACTCCTCATGAAGGCAATCTTGTACATTCGATAATCAGGATGATACAATTTGCTGAAGCGATAAATTGAAGCTATGGAAGGTAAAATCATTTCCCAGATTTTTTCATATCTCTCTCTCTCTTCATTTCCA